ATGAACAATAACCGAGTTCAGCAGTTTTCTTTAGACGGTCGCTTCACTGGCAAAACTATCACTGATTTACCAAGTCCTACTGGAATAGCAACAGCGCCAGATGGACGTATCCTCGTGACTAGTGGCAGAGCTAACAAAGTGTACATATTGAAGTAAAGTCAGTCCATTTCCATATCCCACTGGAAAAGCAGCAGCGCCAGATGGACGTATACTCGTGACTTCACCTCAGACAGTATGCATACTGAAGTAGATGTTTGGATAGCTTGTAGCATGCCTATAGCACGCATATGCATGATTTTTAAGCGATGATTTATTGTGTGGCGTCATCGCTTTATGCTGGCATGCATGCATTCCTTTGGATAGTGATTTCGAATAGTTTGTCGCGCTTATGTCCGTGCGCTTATGTCGCGCACTTTTTATCCCCCTGTGGAAGCGAAATGCACTCTGGGAGTTCCTATACTGCTTTCCTTTGCTGTTTGTAGGTTCAGAGGAGTGCTTTTAATTGTAGCTTTTAAAAGACGATTTAGGGGTGGATTTTGGTTTAAACAGTATCGGATAAATTTGCTTTCACGGGCAAACTCATAATAAGAACATATCCTCCATACATACAAGTTTAGATAGACAAGTAAGTCGCACAGGCGATAGGTGAAGGCTTTGCGGCTTTCNCAAGTCCTACTGGAATAGCAACAGCGCCAGATGGACGTATCCTCGTGACTAGTGGCAGAGCTAACAAAGTGTACATATTGAAGTAAAGTCAATCCATTTCCATATCCCACTGGAATAGCAGCAGCGCCAGATGGACGTATTCTCGTGACTTCACCTGAGACAGTATACATACTAAAGTAGATGTTTCGATAGCTTGTAGCATACCTATAGCACGCATATGCATGATTTTTTTAATTCAGTGGTCTCTCTGATGACAGTGTTATATCACTGCTACGTTTTTGGTCTTGACATTTTTTGACGTCCACAGCGTTATTATGCATCGTTGATATATGGTCACTGGAATTCGGTAATAGATAAGCTAATCTAAGAAATACTATTATAATTGCTTTCAATTTAGAAAAGAAGAGCTCTTGTAAAACGTCTTCGATTTTTTCTTTTTTTAGTTTACATTTCGCCTCGTCAGAAATGTCTTTTTTTGCGGGTAATTTAAGATTTGTCATAAGAGATATATTTACTGAGAGGTTTCGAACGTTCTCGTCTATACGTATGGAGTGTGAAATGGCAAGACAGTTGAACCCTTTCGCGCC